CGAGGCTTCGACCTGCAACAGGATCCGTATTTAGGACCAGACAGGCGCTGAGGGACAAAAGACACTAATGCCAAATTAAAATTAAAATAATAATTGAACCGGTTTAATTTTTTTTAGACAATAAAAAATAAAAGTTGTTGCACGACTTACTTCCATACCCGCTCAATTAAACATTGTACAAGGGAGAAATATTTTTCAACTTCTCAAAATGTGTGTGCAAGTGTATGCGTTTGTGCGTGTATTTTAGTGCGCGCGCATGCACACACCCCAAGTCAATTGTAAAATATTTCAAAGACGCATTTAATAAAACAGCTCCGACATTTGACACACAGTGAAGTATTAAATCAATTATATTCTAAAACAGGTCCGTCGTAAAGGCCTCCAGCACATAATAGAAATGTTTTACAGTGTTGAAAATGAATATGGCTGCTTTTAATCTTAAAAGTCTCCTCTCAGCCAGCAGCCGATTATGTGATGCAGGTAAAACTAAAACAAACACACAAACTTCCCCTAAACGAGAAACGCTCCTGTCAACTGAAGAGAGGCGTCTAAGTTAATAACTGTATCATGGAAATATTAGAAACGATTGATCTATGTTTGAGAAATAAATCTTATCGGCTAACCCCAACACTAATCCAAATAAACCCAAACGACTTTCCATTTGAGGTGGACCTCGTAGAAAACAAAAGCTCCTAAAAACAGAGTGAAATGACGGAACAGAAGTCGCTGCAAAGCAGAGCTGTGATTGGGGAGGGGGGGTGGTGGAAAGTTGTCTGTGTTGAAAGAAGAGACCTCAGCTGATCAAATCCACTCACCGTGCTCGGAGATCACCCCGGCTATTGCGGGATCCTCGTCCGACTTGAGGTGCTGCGGCTTGGCTTGCTTGCGTCGGGACATGCTGCTGGCGTCAGTGCTGGCGATGCTTCTGCTCTTGCGCTCCGTGATGTCTCTGCGTTTTGCAGATACATCAGCGAAGAGCGAATGAATCGACACGCGCGCGCGCACACACACACACTCAAAAAAAAAAGAAAAAAAAAAAAAGTTCGCAAACGGCCTGGTAGCGGTGAGAGGAGAGAAGAAGAAGAAAAATAATTTAGAAATGAACCGGTGTCTAACTGCTGCTGCTGCTGCCGCTGCCGTGCGTTGGATTGCGCATGTCGGTGTAATAATTACGATAGTGAATAATGCTTCGCGGTTAATGGCACCGTGTGAAGGTGGGGAGGATTGGCTGGAGTCCAGCGGACGCGCATTGGATATGGTAATGAGGGACGGACTAAGCAATTAGCCGCTTCAATCTCAGACTTTATCCGTCTCTTTTCTCTTTACTACGACCTCCCTCCAACAACACAACGCAACACACCAAAGCTCTTGTTATGCCCGGCTCACGGGGGTGGGGAGTGTGTGTGTATGTGTGTGTGTGTGTGGGGGGGGTCTTCAACGGGGAACGTCAGGCTCCCTTTTTTTCCCCCCGCAGCGCACTGCCTCACAAGTGCCGAGGATTCGCCTCCGCGTTTCTTCTCGAAGTGTCTCTCATCTTCATCACCCTGACCTTTACGATCCCCACTTTTAACCTCACAACTTCAGACAGCGTCGCACCGTAAAGTATAGATGTCGAGAGCTTTGGCTCAGTTCTGGCACTTTCTCTCTCTCGGTTACTTTTTTTTATGCGTGTGTGTGAGGATCGTCCTTCTGAATTGGACTCAAAATGAAGCGATGTTTTACAGTCTTTTGAGTTGCTTCAAGGCTTTAAAGTTGTCTCTTGACGGACATGTTTCCGGTAAGGTATTGCTGATGGTAGGCTATACGCGGACACCGATAACAGGAGAGTGGACGGGACGAGTAAAGTTCTTGACGATAGCAATAAACTGTTATCGGGTTTCTTTTTTATTTTCTATTGCCGCGGCTCCGCTCTCCAAACTTTTGACGCGCGTCTTCCGAGAAAGCAACAGTCCTCCTCCTCCTCTCAGTTGCAGCGCCAGTGTCAATGTGATCAAAAACGCATTTGTCCCGTAAAAGAGAAGTGGCTTCAACGTTTCCGATCGCGATGAAGTCCCCC